GGGGGGGGCACAACTTTACTCACTTTTTGGTGATTCATTTGGATTCTGGTAGATCTGATGGCAGACCAGTCTCACTTAAGAGCCCTTTTTCTGTCACGCTCAGCTTCCCCGCATAGTCGCCTCTGGCTCAAGATTTTCCATATTTGTTCTTGCACCAAAGATTTGGTTTGCTTCAGACTAAGACACTTTTTCCAAAACTGTCCGTGCCAATTTTCAGATATCACCTCCCCTGGATACAAGCCTGTATGAGAGAGCAACAAGAATCACTTGGTTTTGTTAAGTGCGGCATAGCATTCATTTAATTTGTTAGCCACACCTCGGTGGAAATTCTCACTTTATACTAGCTGGCCACTAAATTACAGCCATCTCTGCCAATCAGGCTTTGTAATCTTTCTGCTTAATCCTACAGTTTTCTGCGTGAAGTGCATCCAGAGAATTCTGCAGTCAATTTCTGCATGGTTAAAATTCCAGATAACTTTTGCTAGCGTGTCTTACAGAAACCCAGGCCTTTAATGTGTCCCTGACCATTTCCATCCAACTGCCCTCACAATGTAGTGCTCTATTTTTTTTTTTTTAAAGTCTGCCCTTTCAGAATTCAGAGCCTTAAACCAGCCCAACTTCCACTTGGACTCACAGTGATTTAAATTTAATTGACATGGTGTCGCTCAATCCCAGGTTAATTTCTAAAAGCAGAAAGAAATAGCACCTACAGACATTTGAACCTCCTTCAGGACTTGCTGAATATGTCATCCACTTCTGGTGAAGCTGGAGATGACCTCTAATGTGAGGTAGTTCATCCAGCTACCAGGAACCCCTCTCAAGCCAAACCACACCGGCTTGTGGCAAGCATCAGTGCAAGCACCCCTACCACCCAGGTTAATTTCTAAAAGCAGAAAGAAATAGCACCTACAGACATTTGAACCTCCTTCAGGACTTGCTGAATATGTCATCCACTTCTGGTGAAGCTGGAGATGACCTCTAATGTGAGGTAGTTCATCCAGCTACCAGGACCCCCTCTCAAGCCAAACCACACCGGCTTGTGGCAAGCATCAGTGCAATCACCCCTACCGATACGGTAATCAGTGACTGCTGCAGATCTGTTTTAATCCATTATTTTCTCTGGTTCTGCGTGAGAAATGAGGAGAAAAGCAAGCCGTAAGACAGACTGGATGGTGTGTTATCTGGAAATACTCTGTGTCCTGGTAGAGCTGTCCTCCCCTCCACTCCTCACCCAGCACAGCAAGGACGCACAGACACACAACTATTTTGCCTCACTTCATCCAGGCATCTGCCTAGCTTCCTGCCTGGAAAATCCCAGTTCAGCATGTCCAGGGCCAACTGGAGGCACAGGACAAGCGCAAGGAGACTGAGACTACAAGGCTGGTTCCCATTTTTTTTCAAATTCTCAAGCATTCCTCTGCTAGCCTCTGCCTTGCAGTGAGGTTGGGAGCCTAACTCTCCACTCAGCCCAGAATTTAGGCCTGGGCTGATGGCTTGCCAGCCCCTTGCCAGACTACAACAGTTCTTTAATGCCTGCTTCCCCAGGTAATTTTCTGGTGATTCAACATGTCACACAGTAAAAAGGGGACAGTCCATAAAAGTAACAATCCATAGAATCATCGAATCGTTTAGGTTGGAAAAGACCTTTAAGATCATCCAGTCCAACCGTTAACCTACACTACCAAGTCCACACTAAACCAGTCAAGGGTAGACTAGACTAAACCATGTCCCCAAGTGCCACCTCTGCCCGTTTCTTGAACACTTCCAGGGATGGGGACTCCACCACCTCTCTGGGCAGCCTGTTCCAACGCCTGACTACCCTTTCTGTGAAGAAATTTTTCCTAATTTCCAACCTAAACCTCCCCTGGCACAGCTTGAGCCCATTTCCTCTCGTCCTATCACTTGTTCCTTGGGAGAAGAGCCCAACATCCCCCTCACTACCCCCTCCTGTCAGGGAGTTGTAGGGAGCGATGAGGTCTCCCCTCAGCCTCCTCTTCTCCAGGCTGAACACCCCCAGCTACCTCAGCCACTCCTCATAATCCATAAAAATCCTACTCTAAAGAGCTTGCAATCTAGATAGAAATCCTCAGAGACATACAGGTGGCTGAATGGGACTAAAAATAAATCTTACGCCACCATATAAAGACCAAAGGGACTGTATGCAGACATGTACATTTAGCAACCGAAATTCAGATATGCTGAGCACCGGCAGTCAGGGAAAACCACCGAAATCAACAGAATCACACAGAAGATCATTCTGCTCAGTCTCTCCCTTTGGGTTTGAAAATACTCGTGGATGTCTCTGCCTGGCTTTTACCAGTGGCGTATTTTTTATCAATGCAGTCTGGCAAACCAGACAAGAACCAGCCTCTTTTGCATGCGCTTTATTCTGCTGCCTGCATCCCTCCTCCTTGTATATTTATAAAAAACCCTATTTTGTTACAAAAAAGGTGACTGAAGCAAATAGAATAGCACTTTAGACAGATACCCCTACCACGCCATGGTTAGCCAGGTTTATTTTTAACCTTCTGCAAAAGATGGGACACAGGGAACATCTTGCTGCTGCTTCAGAAGAGAGCTCCACATCAAACTGGTGGCGATACTTTCTGGGGAGGGGGAAAGGAAACAAAACCAAATTATGCTCTCCTAAAGATGGAGCCCTAGTGAGAAAACAAGGTTTGTAATGAAGAATTATGGCGTAATGCGATGCACGGCTAGGAGCTGGGCTTGCACCCATCGTCCCCCACCACCTCCCCGGGGAAACCTTGCGTGTCAGCACTGCTGATGCAACACAAAAGCTCATTGCATCATACAAGTGCTGCATGAGATGTTTGAGAAAAAGCTCACGGCACAGATTCCGGGGTCTTTGAACATGTCTAGGGTTAGGGCCCAGGCCAGCAAGGTCTGAAGCAAGGGAAGATAGCCTGGAAGGTGACAGGCTGCCCTTTCAGGAACTGGGGTGCCTGGCAGCGTTGCCCAACAGCTTTAGCCTCTTGAGAGCCCGGCAAGAACAACCAACCCCGGGGTTGGCTCGGGCTGTGTGAGAACCCTCTATCCGGTCACAGGGCTGCTGCTCTGAAAAGCTGGACAACGCAGGGAGGTTTACTATGCGCTGCTAATGTTAATTGAGAGAAACATGCCTTGCAGGCAGCAGAAATTCATGATACACTGATGCAATAACACTGGCTAAGCATGGGCCTGCCAGCACCGTATTTTGCTCTGCCTCCCCTTTCATCCCCCGATGTAAGTGTTTGCAGGCCCTTGCTAAAGAGTGCTGTTACAACTGGGCTTCCCTTAACAAGTGGCCTTTTCCGTGCAAGACGCATACATATGCTACAGAGACAGCTCTGGTTATTGCAGGTTACGTTGCGATGTTTATTTTTCAGAGTTACACGAGCAATCCCAAATCTGGGACCGAAACCCTCCAGGTCCTCTCCAGTACTCCCCCCCTTGAGGAACAGTCTGCTTGCCCAGTACCTCAGAGAATTTGCCTGGGACCTGCCTCACAACCTTGCATATACTACAAATCCCATGGAGTCCCTTTTCTATCCATAAGGAAAAAACCCCATCGATGCAGTGGCCAGAGCTGGAGGAAGAATTCAGCTTTGCCACAGACCTGCTGTTGCTTTATACCTCTTTTACCCCTCCCCTCTCATCTGGCCTGCTTTGACTGAAAGCTCTTTGGGGGCAGGTTGAGCCCTTAATATATGTTTGCAGAGAATCTGGTGCAAACAGGATTCTGATCTTGAAACACAAAATGTTTTTATGATACAAGTCAAGTGATCATTAGGTCTGATTTCTCAAAACCAGGAGCCAGAGCTGTGGCCCCTTGGCTATCCAGACACTTTCTCGCCTTGCCCTCCTTGCCCCGAGGTGGAGGAGTGCCACCAACCCTGATGGTAAGATGTCCCCTAAGGACCAGGGTGGTTTTGCACTCCCTTGCACTTGGCCGCTTCGTTGCTTGTTGGTGATGAACAGAAAAATGCACACTAATAGTGCAACCCCTGCCCCCCTTTACCTTTGAAAGCCAGAGGTCTTTGTGCATTAAGCATGCCTGGTTTCAGTCCCCGGCCACATTTTCCACAGTGTCAGTGCTAGCCGGCTGGGCCGTTTATTTTAGGAAACAAATAGCTGTATCATTTGCACACGCCCTTATAGGCAGACACAGGCTCTCCGCTCGTGTTCTTCAAAAGAAGGGAAGGCAAGATGAAGAGCTCTTTGTTGCTGTGCGTGGCCTTGGCTGTCTCCTTGGGGTTCATCCATGTGGCAGGTAGGTGAGAAATGAAGAGCACGGAAAACCGTGCTTAAAATATCAGTGATGGGGTTTGTGTAATCAGCCATTCGTATTTTTAACAGTCAAAAACTGAACTTCCAAGCCTGCTTAAGAAGTTTGCTTCAGTGGCGCTCGGACACCTCAGTGTCTTTCTGCACCACAGAGCTGTGTGTTTTTAATTGCTGCCTTGAGGCTAAGAAAGTGATGAGTAGGTGCAAATTTAAGACTTTATGATTAGCCATTTTTGATCGGGTTTCTCAAGCAACAAACTGCAAACATGCATGCTTGCTTTTCTGCAGTGCTAGGAAGCTTGCAAGACTCTTACCTGCTAGATTTGAAGGCTTCTAACATCTTCCTGGTAATCCTGTCATATGGCTACGGCCAATTTATTTCTGATTAAATTGTAGTTTATCATGTAACTCCGCTGCATTTCTTGGAAACTCTTCATTTAGATTGTGATCAGGCTGTCATCCCAGCACACTCCTCAGTGTGGTTCACAGGTAATAGATACTGCCTGTACTGATGCCAGATCTCTGTACGACCATCTCCAGTCATCCTCATTCACGTGGTGGATCTGGTCCACGGGATTATATCCGTGCTGAAGGATAATCATCCCCACAGCATGGACAACAGCATCCCTGCATTTCCTCCAACTTTTGGGAAAGGGCATCTTATTGCCTAACAAGGCAGGTCCTTGGAAGTACTGCTTCCTATGAAAAGTGACCGGCTGTATAATCCACTAGCTGAAAAACAAGAAAACATTGAGAAATACTGTCAGTTCAACACAGAGCCCAGTCTGGTTTTCCCATTTCATACACATGGCTTAAGATAGATAGCTATATATATGTAAGCAGCTTAGAGGGGAAGTCAAATCTGAGTTACATGCAGCTACAGGAGTGCTGTTTATACTACTTATGATGAAATTAATGTATTTTTGGTCTAATTGAGCCTCTTCCTACTTTATTAGTCACTTGCACCTGCAGCGGAGTTTGAACAGATATTTTTAGAAGGCATTTGCTTCTTCACTATGCTGCAGCTAGGTATTGTTGGGCTTCACAGCGTATTACAGGACAACCCAATATGGGGAGATGAGAAATTTTGTCTAAATCTTTGCATGAGTGTTGAGGAGGGAGGGAACACCATATTGCAGTAAATCATGCGCTGCAAAATCCAACCTGCAGACATTTAGAAGGGCATTAGGAAGTTTTGTATTTACCTACCTTCTCCCCAAAGGGACTTTATTGGGTGATGCATAGAAGTATTGCTGATAAAGCTGTCTTTTTTGCAGCTTTGTAATTATACTTTAAAAAAAATATATGGAGTACCTGTAACTATTATGGTTACTGAAGCCAAGAGTATTACACAAGGAATTAAATCAGGACAATATTTTTAGAGTACAGTCAAAACCCCCCTGCATCTTCATAAAGAGTATATTAATATAATTTTATCAGATGAATTAAAGCCTGCTCCCAAAGGTTTTAGGACAACTTCCAAAGCCAATAGGATGTGACGTGAATATTGGCTTTGGATTAAGGGCTTAGAAAGAATTGCACACAACATTACATAGAATACAGTGACAGACATCAGAGGGAGCTGTACGTGAAGGGCAAGAAGCCAGACACACTTTCTGTAAGAAAAAAGAAAGGCCAACACTCAAGGAGGCAGAGACTAAAGAGGCTTTTCTAGCAAGCTTCTGCTTCAGAGGGAAATGTTCATGTTGAACAATGAGTTGGCAGAGAGGAAGCATGCAGAACAAAAGAGATCGGAGGAAGGGGTATAAAGAGACGAGCACCATTCAACTCTGAATAACAACCGTCTCCACCTGTCAGTTATGATTACGTATTCCTGCCTTGGTGGGGCACGCTGCGATCAGAAGCAGGACTGGACTTACACTCTATGTGCACATTTTGCAGCGGCATTTGTACAGGTGGCCAATTGTGCTGATGCTATACAGAGAAATGCTAAAAGGAAGCCCTTGCTCTAAAGGGCTCGATGGGCACACTCTATAGTGGGACATGCTGTAGAGGGATAAAGAAAACCATGAGACCAGTAGGAAGAGCAGCATCTCCTACGTGCCTGGAGTAGCTTTCGCCGCTGCCCAAAGCAAGGGAGCAAAATAATTTCCTTCCTGATCGAGAAACTCCACAGTGAACCGTTTTCAGAAGGTATTGTGCTGCCTATTGTCACAGAAACAGCATTTGTAACAGGCAGGTGAATTGTAGGGTCACTCTGAAGCGTCATTTTACACAGCTTTTGTGCCTTTTTCACAGTTATGAGGTCTGTAAGGATCTCCGAAAATAACCCAGTGGAGTGGAAGCAGATGAGACCAGCATATTGTAGGGGCAGGAAGGAAGCTCTAAGAAGCCTCAGGTAGAAAAATTGGAATGCTATTTTCATTACGTTGTATGGATTAGATACTTAGGGGCTCTGCCAATCAATACTTTCCTCGTTTGGTCTTGCAGACAGCTTCATGTGACAGTTAAGCTGCTGCCAACAGCAGCTAACAATCGGAAAACTTTTACACTACAACTCAGAGTCCCTGTGCTGAATCAGAAAACTTACAGTACAACTGAGAGTCCCTGTGCTGCTCCTGGATCGCAGCTTCGCTATTGCTCCCACAGGCTTTGAGCACTATCCCTTTCACCCTATAGCAACAGGGTCTGTTGTTCATAAAACCCAGCAGCTTTGGACATGGGAATAAAAAAAAAAACAGACATGAGCTCATGCAATGTATCTGCTTCCTTACTGATCCATGCTTTGATAACTTGAACTATCCCTTTCACCCTATAGCAACAGGGTCTGTTGTTCATAAAACCCAGCAGCTTTGGACATGGGAATAAAAAAAAAAACCAGACATGAGCTCAGGCAATGTATCTGCTTCCTTACTGATCCATGCTTTGGTAACTTGAAGAAATCCAGCTATTAGGACCAAAGCTTTTAAGTCAAAATGACTCCGAAATCCTCTGTAGACATGATGCACACAGGCATTTTTAAAGCTTGTTTCTCTCCATGGTTAAACCAAGGGACCAGAAGAGTAGGTGAGTCCCCAGAACCGCGAGGTCCTTTGGAGCCCAAAATAAACTATCCCCATCTTACACACAAAAAAGCACTGGTTTTGGTACTCCTAAGCAGGCTGAAGGTGCTGTAGGAAGAGTGAAGCTGCAAAGTGATGGCTGTGAATTTGATTTTAGCTGCATTTAGACATACAGAGGGATGTAAAAACAGCCACTTAAGAAAAAGTATGACTATGTGTGCATATAAAAGCAAGGCTGGCTTGTTATGCGTGAAGAGACCAGAGGCTCTGGGTTGGGGAAAACCAAGTAGCAAAGAACAAGCTATTTCAAATCCATCTACTTGCACGGTAAGCATTGTGCCACCAGGAACATTCAAAAAGCCTCTGGGTGACAGATGGGATTTTTTTACCCTGTTTTGACTGAGTTTCATATTGAATAACATGCTAAAAGTACGGGAGACCTAGCCAAGCTGGTGGTTCTCGATTTGAGTAAGCTCCTCAGCTGCCAAATTTAACTTCAGTATAAACAGAACACCAGAAAAATCAGGACTGGAGTTTTTCCTGCAAACCACAACCATCCTAAGGCCCACTTACCTTTCACTGCCAGGTCACCGGGCTGCCTTCTTGCTGGGTCCTGTAGTGCTTTTTGGCATCTCTTCCCTCAGGGACCTGAAAGACAACGTACCACTCAAGGAAAACTGACACATCTGCCACATTGGCAAGGTCAGGGATATTTATTTAGAGGCCAGATCTGAAGTAGGGTTTAGGCAGCTAGAATAGTGCTGGTGCACGACAGAAGAATTTGGTACCCTCTTCAGTTAGGGTAAAAACAGCACTTCAGCTGCCAGGTAGAGCTCGAGGCTTGCAAGGGGACTTTTTTCCCCATTTCACGAGAAACCGCTGCATGTTTGCCTCTCTCTCCAGCAATGCAGTGGCCAGGTTCGTTGTTTTCTCCTTCCCCGTACCATCACCTCCATGTACAGAAGCATGCTGTAGACTGAGCAGGGAAGACAGCTGAACTCATCTTTGCCAGGAGGCTCATTTGTACCTGCTGAAACCTGGACTTTTATCAATCGAGATGCCGTAACGGTGCATTTCTGGCATTCTCATCACTTGGCTTTCTGCTAGAGCAAGTTTCACGGTTTTTCTTCTTGACCCTGGGATTGCATATCCTCTGCTTGCAGGTTATCCACAGGACTCCGGAGACAACGAGCAAGTGCTGGTTAATAACAAGTGTCAGTGTGTAACAGTGACCTCAAAGTTCATCCCATCCAAAGAAAATCCTGGTGAAGAGATCCTGGAGAGGAACATACGCATCCTGTAAGTGGCAGACAAGTATTACGTGGAGATGGTGAACAGGAGATGAAGTGTTATAGGAGTTCCCTTGTCTTTGCATTGCTTCCCATGTCCTGGCGTTGATGATGTGAACTGTTTTTCTCCTTGGGCTGCTTTCTGTGGTATCCTGGAATAATTCCTTTTGCTTTGTGTTTTTCTGGCTCACGTGAACCTATCTGGTGTTTGTCCCTTCAGATACAAAAAGCTGTGTTTTAAGCAGTCCAGTAGTAACTTCACAAAATAGGCTGGGGAAATAGAGTGTAACGTTTTTACAGTTGATCTAATCTGAAACCAAACTGAGCCCATGGCGCTGGACTCATTTACCCATCTGTTAGCAAGCCTGCTATCTTATAGGCTGGGAAAACTAGTTAATGCCTAAACTATCAGAAAAGCTTAATCCTACGAGGCAGGTCTCCGTTCAAAAGTAGGATTTTGTCCTCTTTATTCACACAAACCTTGCAGAATTGCGTCTCTCTCTTTCGGAAACATGGACCAAGTTCAGGCTCAGAGCTGCAGGAGCTCTGGTAGAGCTCACGACACAAGAAACACTAAACATCTCTGTCTTCCAAGTCTCTCAGGCATCTGCCAGCTCAGTTTAAAAACAAAAAAAACCCCCAAAACAAAAGGATTATCATCACTGTCACCTTGAAAGCAGCACTTTCAGAAATTGCTGCAGTCCTCTCGGGGATGGTTGTTGCCTTTGAGGGCACAGAAGTGCCAAGATCTGCTGTTCCTGGGCTTTGCTATGGAAAAGGGGTGGAAAGGAAATAACCTGAAGAACAAGATGAGAGGTGGGAATTGTTCACAGCAGAGTAGCCCCCTGTTTAATAAGCAGTTTTCATGAGAGCAATTCTCTTCCCTCCTTTTCAGAGTCCCCCTGAAGGCTCGAGAGAACATCTCTGACCCCATGTCCCCGCTCAGAACCACTTTTGTCTACCGCATGACTGAACTGTAAGTAGTTTTATTTACTAAATTCATTTCCTAAGACTTAACCTCCCCTGCAGCATTGCCCACAGCAGCTCAAAAACATGCCTGAAGGACAGTAGAGAAGGTGTGGCAGGGTCACAGAGGAAAGTTTTCCCCATGGAGCCTAGCTTCCATATTCTGTTGCAAGCCAAGAAATTGTTATGTCCGTGATTAAGTCACATAAAAAGATCCTACATTTACAGGTAATGTTTCATTCTGACACCTGTTCATCTGAAATGGTATATCAGCATGAAAGCATCTGAAATAGTATATCAGCAAATTACACATTGCCTGTTTAACCCTCCCTTTTAAATGCCAGTCTTGCCAATAGCACTTTGACAACACTAAAAGCATCTGGCTGAAAGTTCCTATGCAAAATCTAGAAAGGCCACGGTACCCGCCTAGCTGCATCTACAGATAAGCAAGGAGGATTTGAGTTTCACCAGGGGCATCTTTTCATCACAACTCACTTGTTCTATTCCCCATCTCTTCCAGCTGCAAAAAATGCGATCCCGTAGAAATTGAGCTGGGTGGCGAGATATACCAGGCCCAGCAGAGCACCTCCTGCAACGAACCTGAAACCTGCTATACCTACAACAGGGACAAGTGCTACACCTCAACCTTCCCATTGGTCTACAACAGGGAGATCAAAAACGTTAAGGCAGCTCTGACACCAGCATCCTGCTACGCCGAATAGCTCAACGCACTGCTGTACTAATGCCTTGTGCTCAGTGTTCCTATCAAACATACACGTCTAGCACCGTAGTACCGGGACAACAGTGTCCAAAATATCAGCTCCCAGAGTAATGCCAACCTGCCTCTTCATAATGTTTTCAACATCAAATGAGCGCCATCTCCCAAGAGCAGCTGATGTTTGTCATAGACTCTGTTCTCATATCCCCGCACATATCTGCAGTGCCATTATTATGTGTCTCAGACATTATGGCCATACAGACCAGACCCTCAGCTGATGTAACTTAGTATTTCCCTTGAAATCAAGGGAGCTACACTGATTTACAACACTGGGGAACTTGTCTTTTTGACAGTCTTCCATCAGTCTTTATCTGAGCAAGGTCAGGAATGTCCACGTACTTCCTTCCCTCCCCAAGCAATCTAAAGCAAACCTCTGCACAACCTTTATACAAGACCCTTTGATTACATTAGCAGAATTTGTGGCATCACTAGAAGTCTGTTGTGCAATGAGATCTGAGGGAAAAGATGAAGGATGAGACCGAAAATTCAGATTTGAAAGTTATGTTGCAATTGGGCATTCTAGACCATTCTAGCACTTTGACAATTGCAAGCTTCCAGTTTTCTCCTACATTTCAAGAAGATCAAAAGACGCTGCTGCCACCCTGAAGTGTTTGGCAAAGTTGCCAGGACCTCAGCTGTGTCAGGAATTGTAAGCTGTTCTAGGACATGTTAGGTATTTCACTTACCACACTTACTGATATTAATGCCTTCTTCCAACTCTGCTCCCAGTTCAATTGGTGAAAAAAAAAAAAAGCCCAAGTTGCCTTGAATTTCTTTTCTTGTTCCTCATTTTGCATTTAGAGCTGCAAGAAATTCTATGAAGCTGACTCAGTTGCAAGAGCAGCACCCTCATTAGGGATTCATTCCTTCTTTCCCACCAATAATCTTTCTGCATACAAGAAACCCTCACCAAATAAAGGCGCCGATTTAAATGCATTACACTCAGTGTTGCCCATAGAGATATCATGTATACGAGCACATAAGGTGTCCTGCATTACATTTGGGATGGCTGATATGTTTCTCACTGTTGTCACAAGTTTGTTGTAAAGCCTTCGGCTGTTCTGAAAAACCCTTATCTGGCTTCACACATAATTGGAGTAATAAAACAGCAAAAACCTTATTCCTATAATCGTAGCTTTGTTAGTGAAACATTAAATAAACTTTTTTCTGCAGCAGCCTGTGTATTCTATTCCAGTTCAATAAGAATTCATAAGAAAAAGCCAAGTCTATAATCATATTCTTTCCTCCTTCACAGTGAAGTAAGCAGCTCTCCCTAAATAACTGCTTATACTTACAGGCAAAGCCTCCTGAAAAACGGGGATAGAAATATTATGATGCACTTGCAGGAACCGTGACAGATTGAGGCTGAGCTGGTTTATGATTTTAGGATCTGCTCTGCATCACCGAGCTGCTTCAAGGCCCTGTGAGTCAGTGCAGGATTGGAGCTTAAAAATCCAAATGTCACCTAAATCACTCGAACTTCCAATCCGCAGATCAGAATTTTACCTGTGTTAAAGGCACTTTTTTCAGTGGTGAGGTATGTCAGGGGTTACTCATTCCTATGCAAGGTATCTGTCCTAAAGAAAAAACAATCTTGTGGGGGCCAAATTTTTTAGAGCAAAAGAGTAAAGAGGACCGAGATACAAATTATTCTAATATTACATCAGAATTATGGAAAGTGAACTCAGAAAAATATCATTTCTTCTCCTCCTTCATGCAAAAAGATAGCCAATTTGAAGAAATGCAAAAAGCAAAGGGAGGCAAAGACACTCCTGCCATGTACTGACATGGCTTTAAGGATTTCAGTGGTTCAGTACTAAGCTCACTGAAATTTGTCTCAAAGACATCTTTGTCTTCAAAGTCTTGGTGTTCACCAACCTAGGGGTGCTGTGATATTAGAAGTTAGGAGGTCATGGGGAGGCTGCATTTCACCTCCCAACACAGCCCGTCAGGTTACAGCCATAGGAACGTGTCAGTCCTTGGGGCTCTACCTCTTCTCTGGAATCCTGTGCCTAAACATGAAGTTTCCACATTTGTTTGTACATCCTGTTGTAGAGACTACAGGAGATTCACATTTACTCACAACGGGACTGGAAATTGCCCTGCAGCACGTCTTGGGAGTCCAGCGATGCCAGCACAACAGGCTGCTCATGAGAGGCATTCAGGAAAAATAAGATGAAAGCACAGAACCTTGTCCAAGCAGCTGTGAACAAGTACTTGCTTAGATGATCTTGGGTAGAGCGAACAGCCACTGGGAAACAAGAAAAAGAAGTGTTCAAACTCCCCACGTGCTATTCAGCTTTAAAATAAAGGAGGATTCCTTCTCCCCATCTTTTCTGAGAGACACAGAGAAGCCTAAACTGAGAGCCCTGCCCACCCCTCGGTACTGGAATCTGTTAGCCAGGTTTTAAATGATAACTCAAAGCAACACAGCAAGTTAAATGAGGCTCTGAACCCTTACCTGAAAGACCAGGACAGTAAAATCGGAGCAAGTGAGGTCTGTGCTTATCCCCGAGAGCGTACTGGGGAGGGTCTGGGACCTTCTAGCCAGGGGAAGAGGTCCCGATGGACAAGAGAAATTCCCCGTGCTGGGGGTTGTCTTAGATGTGCCGAGAAAACCATGTCCTGCTATGAAAAATCTTGTTTCTCAGACTGTGCGGCCACTACTTCAAAGCGGGATTTTTTGGCGAGTCCTGATGTTGGGGGTAAGAATGCCTCCCTTGCTATGAACTCCTCTGTTTCAGTCTCTAAGTGACTAGGGTGGGACAAGGCTTCCCACCTGGGATTGCAATACTTTCCTACCAGCTCCATCTTTTTCTTCACAGGTCAGGTTGGTTCTTTAGCTGCCTTTAATGTTCCTCGAATAGTTTGCCTTGGTGCATTTAAGCTAAATTAATTTTGTCTCAGACTTATAGGAGTACATTTGTATTTTACCTCCTCACAGACTACTTGTAGACTTAATTCTTCCCAGGTCTGCCCTCCTTGTCTAAATAATGTTCTGTTGCTTATACAATGTTGAGTTAGAGGGATTTCTCACTAGTGTTTTTAGAAGTCCTTTTTAAGGCATGGAAATTTGTCCTCATAATCCTGTTTCCATTTGACCAAGACATTTGATTAGCAGCAGAAACTACGGCACACATTGAAGCTGAGCAAAACAAATCCTTGAGCTCCATTGTTTTACAGTAGGCAATTCAGCCAAGCAGCTTGTGACCATAACCAGCTAACTTATAAATCAGCCAAAGGGCTGTGGGACAGCCCAGTTCACATGCCATAAAGGCTTCAGCTGCCTTTATGAGATGTTTTTTGCGTGGTAATAGGTAACAGGCTATGATTTTTAGCAGCCTCACTGTATTAAGTCTGCTTTTGTCAGCGCAAGGTTTGTCAGTGAGTGGGATCTTTCTGCAGAAGAGTTCTGCGTTGTATGCTCTCAGATGGAAGGTTTCGTGTTTTCGGTAGGTACATAGATTGCAGCCGGTTATGCCTTCAAGAATTCAGAGATCACTTATTGATATTTTGTAAAGCAGTAAGCACAATGTGGATGCTTAAAAACCAGTAAGGTGTTTGTGGGCCAGGATCTTTGACTAAGCTAGCATGTTACAGCACAAGACATCACCAGCGCCTTCTAGCCAAGCCCAAGCACTGCTAAGCTAGCTAAGTGGTTGGTGCCTGCAATTTGGTAGTCCAAAACCAGTCTTCAAACTATCCGGCCATTTCAGAAGTAACTCAAAACTACCTTTAGGTTTATTCTAACGTAAGAATTTTCTTTTAGGAGCAGCTCAGCTACTAGCTTTGATTCATTTTAAGAGAGTTTAGAAATCTGTATTAATTCACAGTCATGGAAGAACGTTCTCTTATTTTGTCTTATCTCTTTAGACACTTTCTTGCAAGCTTTGGATGTCTCCTCTGGAGCTCTACTATCATTTCCCCCAGCCAGCATTTTCGGAAGGAACTGAAACAGAAGATTAAACATAAGCATGATTAACAGCCTCAAATGACATTTAGAGAGCGATTGAAGAAAAAAAGTAAACATATGTAAAGAGAAAGGGTCAAAAATCCAGTGGATATATTGCTCAGTTGCAGCTGTTGCTTATGATATGAGATCAAACTGAGTGAAGTCCCTTCTTGGGCATTCAGAGGTTGCAATCTGCTTTGCACGCACAGTTAACATATAGCGCTGTCTTCCGCACGTTCTGATGGCATTAAGAACATCAGCCACACAAGCTGCAAAGCTATGCGAGTCCCCTGCGTAGATCAAAATACCTATTCAAGGTGTACATCAAAATACCTGTTTAGTTGCTCCCAGGATGGCACTTTCATAGAATCATAGAATCGTCTAGGTTGGAAAAGACC